TCACATTTTCTCGCTTTTTTCTTCCCCAAGATCGACTTATCAGGTTTTCGGCTCCTTTTTCACTTTTTCATACTTTTTCCATATTTTCGGTCTTTTCAAATTTTCGCGTTTTCGGTTTTTTTTTCTCATTCCCACACTTTTTGGATTGTCAAATTTTCTCGCTTTCGTGTTTTTCTCATTTTTCGGATTTTCAGATTTTCGCGTTTTCGGGTTTTTCTCATTTTTCGCACTTTTCGGATTTTCAGATTTTCGCGTTTTCGGGTTTTTCTAATTTTTCGCACTTTTCGGATTTTCAGATTTTCGCATTTTCGAGTTTTTTCTCATTTTTCGCACTTTTCAGATTTTCAAATTTTCGCGTTTTCGGGTTTTTCTTATTTTTCGCACTTTTCGGATTTTCAGATTTTCGCGTTTTCGAGTTTTTTCTCATTTTTCGCACTTTTCAGATTTTCAAATTTTCGCGTTTTCGGGTTTGTCTTCTTTTTCGCACTTTTCGGATTTTCAGATTTTCACGTTTTCGGGGTTTTCTCATATTTCGCACTTTTTGGATTTTCATATTTTTGTGTTTTCGAGTTTTTTCTAATTTTTCGCACTTTTCGGATTTTCAGATTTTCGCGTTTTCGAGTTTTTTCTCATTTTTCGCACTTTTCAGATTTTCAAATTTTCGCGTTTTCGGGTTTTTCTTATTTTTCGCACTTTTCGGATTTTCGCGTTTTCGTTTTTTCGTTTTTTTTTTTTTTTTTTTTTTTTGCACTTTTCAGATTTTTAGATTTTCGCGTTTTCGGGTTTTCGCTTACTTTTGGTACTTTTCGGATTTTCGAATTTTCGCGTTTTCGGGTGCATCCAGCGGCAACGCGTCTTTTTGAATTTTCGCGTTTTCGCGTTTTCGGATGGACCCTGCGCCCGTCACCAAAACACGACGACACGGAAATCCAAAACACAGTAAGTATATATCCATCCAAATAAGGAGCTTCATGGAGATCTTGATAGGGTATGTATGTAGTCATGGGGCCAAAGCTTTGGGTATCAAAAAACATGTTTTTCACAGAACCAACATTGTTTGATTTTCACAAAGGACTTTTTATGAATTACCATCTGGTTATTTAACATAGCCATGGAAAATGCCCCATTTATAGATGGTTTACCTATTAAAAATGGTGATTTTCCATGGCTATGTTAAATAGCCAGATGGTATTCACTGTATTCGATGTTTTTGTATACTCTAAATCACGAAGACTTGATGGGACGAATGGGACCATGACTCGAGCTTTTCATCATCAAAATGGGACCATGGGTTTCAAAAGTTTCCCAACCTGTGGATTTGACATGCCGAGACAAGGCGGCTTGGAGGAACCAGTTCTGAATCGATTTGGGGACAGATTCAAGGTCTGACGCTGGATACCCTCCTGGCGCCTAAAAAAGAACGAAAAGCAAGAATTCGGAAAGAACGAAAAAGAAAGAAACAGATAGAAGGACAAATAGATAGACAGATAGATAGAAAAATAGATAGAGAAATAGACTTCAAATAGATCGTTTTTTTTAACCTCCGGAACCTTTTTTTGGACGCACGAAGGTCCCGACCAACATTAACAGCCAGGTTACAGCAATGTGAAATACCTGGCAAATGCCGGCGGCCCAGGGAACACTGGTGATGTTCATTGGAAATCTCGGTTTTGGGACTTCGTCGGACTTAGTGACTTAGCATATGGTGGCGAGTTTGATGATTTTTCTTGGGAATTTAAAATGGATGTTTCATGGATTTTACCATCTGGCTATTTAACATAGCCATGGAAAATCACCATTTTAATAGGTAAACCATCTACAAATGAGCCATTTTCCATGGCTATGTTAGTCATAACGAGATGGTAATGTTTTTTTGCTGCGACTTGACCCTATCCTTTTTTCATAAAAGTGCCGTCAGTCCAGGGTGGCCCCTGGCTTTCTGTTGTGAAGATTCCGCCCATTTTTCCAAGGTATGATCCTATAATCCACAACTTGGAATATATACTGTATACTCGTACACTCTAAAAACATGATTTCATTTGGCTTTGTCCGAAAATTGGGTACCCAGTTGTATCCACTTGTGAATCAACCATTCTCCCAAGACAAACATGCCATCAACGAGTTTTTAAAAAGGGCCTCCATTTTCAGACACAGCCAAGTTTCATATTGCTGATCAAGTATCCAATGAAACCACCATTTTTATTGGCTTAATGCCCATTTAGTGGATCAACCTTTGAGAATTGTCATGATCAGTAGTCCTCACCATGTTGCTTCAGGCCCCATCAACATTTTGTTTGAGAGTATTGAGTTGGTTCCATTTAGTGGAAATCAAACAATACCAACATATGGGTATTTTCCTATGGGGTCCCTGAAGTCATCTTGGGTTTCAATTCTAAAGTCTGATGGCTTGGATCATCGGTGCTGAAATTTTGGGACCCCCCGCCAATTTTTTGTGGTCCCTCGAGCAACACTTGTTACACGGCTGGAGCCCAACTGAGCGGTTCATCCAGGTCTACAATTCAGAGATCATGGACATGCTGAAGAAGTATGTGACGGGGCTCAAATTTATGACATGTCTGACATGGGGATGGGTCAACACCTATTATCATCCATTTTTAGTGAGATGAACATCCATAAATCTGTTCGCTATTTTGATATTTTGGGGTTCACCAGAGGTACCAGGGTGCCATGAGCCATTGCCATATAATCCGTGAAAGCTATACACAAGGGTTGATTGGCGTTTGGGGGTTATGAATTTGGAGTTTTGTCTGATAAAAGTTCCTTCTGAGACCTTCCGTCAGATGACCACCCAATAGATGCTTGAGAAAAAAGCCCTTACAAGCGCTTGTGGGTGGCTAACAGTTTCATAAAGCCTGAGCTTTGGGCTGAATCCCATGAAGAGTCCTGTGGCTGAGGATTTTTTTTGTGTTCCACGGAAAGCACTGGACTTCATTTCCAGCTTTGGTGGGTCCAAAATGAACATGGGTCACTGATATGGGGGGTTTCATAGCTTATCATGGAAAATTTTTCATGAACGTGGATTTAGGGGTACACCATGGTACACCCATGACTTAGGAAATCTCCATATAACCATTCACTAATCCTACATGGCTGTGACACTCGTTTTTTTTTTCACTTCCAAATTGGGAGGTTTCGCCGATCCAATCCAAGGACCCAGAGATTCAATGAGGTGCTGGGCGTTGGACGAATCAGTAGCTTGGACGTGAGGGAAACTTTCCCTCCAGCCACGTGGCTGGAAATTCCCAGCTGTTTTTAGGTTTGAATTTCCCACTGAAAGCTCCGTTTGGTTCCGGGATTTCCCACGCTTGATTGAGGGTGTAAGATTTTACGATCCATTTTGTGGCAATTTTGCTGGGGAAAGTGTTTTTTTTGAACGGATTTGGGGTTTCCAAACTTTGAGATACATCCAAATGGGATTACCCCCGTTATGGGACATGTAAACCTTGGGTGGCCATACCGTATCACCTCTTACTGACTAAACAGTGCTTCAACCTTGGTCAAAGCTTTTCAGTGATGGTGATCTCTGTGACGAAAACAACAGAGACCTCTGTGTGATGGAACAACAAAAATAGAAAAGACACGAAACACGAAACATATCTATTCCAACATCCAAAATGGGGGGATTCACGACCGAAGAAAAACAAACTCCTGAAATCTAAAGATCTCTCTTTGATCCTCCCAACGTCACGGAGACCAAGGCGTTTCAGCAAGACAGTGAAACGCAGTGAAAAGCCCGAAGCGGAAAAGACTGGCAGTAGCATCAAGTTTTTTCGAGATTTTTTAGATAAATTGGATCATATTCACCCAGGAATGAGAAGCCCCAGTTGATTACTGGGGAGTTTACCAATTTTTGGTGAAAGTCAGGGTGTATGATTTGGGGTTGCGATTGGTTTTTTGTGGAAATCCTTGGGTTTGTTAACTGAAATGTATCGCCAGGCAAAATCTTCGAAAATCTCTGGGGAATACTTAAGAAACATACCATGGAAACTGGAGATTTATATAAATCCAATCGGTTTAGGTTTAGGGTAGTTCGCACGGACACAGCAGAATTGTGGGGGGTCTGCCCTGGCTGCGTGTTGATATAGGCCTTACGATTTGTGGGATTATCCTCCCAGTATCAAGCAGTTATCCATAGTTCTCCCCGGTATCCCCAGTATATTCTGAACTATCTCACAGTGAAGGAACGCTGGGAAACTTGTTAGCAAAACAAACTTGCACCACAAAAAAGAAGCACCAGCAGTCTGCTGCTTCTAGACCAGAGCCTTTGTTTGGTGCAGCCATGCTAATGCAGAGGTCTTTGTCATGTTTCATGCGAAAATTTGGCAACCTTCGCAGCTACCCTCTGATAATCAAACATGGCTGGGAAATTCACCAAAAACATTGTAGTTTCAATGGGCAAATCATGTATACATGGGGGATCTTCCGGGGACACATGTTGCCACGTTTGATGACCGGAGGGTAAACTTCGCAGCTGCAATCATTATTTTAGCTTGTTCTATTGAATGTCTGGCGTCCAGACACCATCTTGCCACCCTCGTGGTGCCAGTGCTTGGAAGCATGCGTGAAACCCTCAAGATATAAATCTCCATGAAATCCCAATTCTTGGATCATCAAGTCCGACTAAGTCCTCGTTTGATCACCATTTTTTATACTAATTTTGAATGTTCAATTCCCGTAACATCCATAAAATATGTTGCTGGTTTCAACCCCTCCATTTTTGCTGGATCCCGGTTTCTCAAACAAGTGGCTCAAGGCCACCCTGAAGGGGTGGCCACGAGTGGCATCGCTTTTTGAAACATGTCGAATCGTCGAGTCGTACAAAAACAGCGAATATCATAAAGGGCGTAAGTTGCAGTCAATAGCTTCGTTCAAAATCCGTCACTTAAATCTTAGAATTCAATTTGTGCATCAATTGTTCATCCTTTCAACTCCACAAAACTGTAGCATTTATCTACCACTTTATTTTTTCTTTTACAGCCATGGAATCTCCCATCTCGCCGAACTTTGAGGCTTTGGACCCATTTTTACCCTCCTTCCTGCGGATTCCTGCCTCCCTAAGGGATGCCTTGGACCCAGCACCTTCCCCCCGGCGCGTGGACACGGTGCACCGTGCCCGCAACGATGTGGCGCCGCCCAAGCTGCGGTTGAACGTGCAGTCTTCGCCACGGAAGCAAACGGTAAGGAGGTTGGCCTCAAGCAGGGCACAAGAGGAACAACATGTGGCCAAGATGCCGGAGCTTTGGATTTGGAACAAATTCCATGGCCTTAAAAACATTTTTTTTTTTTGAACCCCCCATATGGCAATCGAACATGACAACTATGGGGATAGGATATGGATTTAAGACAGAGAAGCTGACTTACATGGAACATGAAAATGATGTGGTATTTAAAAGTCATGAACAACTGAAATATCCTGATGCTTCAGCTCACCTTTATGGTTTTTGTACCACCAAATTTGATAGTTGAGAAATGTTGAGAACCTCACTTTCCGATTCAACTGGCCAGTTGAGGGTATGCTCCATTTTCAGACAGAGCCATATTATGGAAAAAACACATCGATCTTCAATCCAGCAATTTATGGCTTTTTCTGGGCCAGAAATTTTATGGGGGATAATCCATTTTTGGATATCCAAGGGGACGGATAGATGTCACCAACCGTCCCAGTATGAAAATTTAGGGTCCCAAGATGTTGGATAAAAACCAGCTGTTTAATCCCATGATTTTTGTTGTCCGGGCTTAACCCATCTGCTGTTTTACCATGATGGGTCACATCTGGGCGTCGGTTGAATCGACATTTTTGGAGAGAAAACTTGGAGGATGACGGCTAGGTTTCATGGTTTTTACACTTTACACGAGGATTTAATCATATACCCTCTGGTAAACGTTTACATAACGAACTGGAAAATCATCCTTTTTAATGGGACAAACTCACTATTTCGACTGGGCCATTTTCAATAGCTATTTTGACAGAACCAGAGGGTAATCCATGGTTTCAATCAATGTTTGTGCCTTCAAAGCATTGAATCATCCAAGGAGATAGCTGCTGCCGTGCTGCCAAAGCAACTTGGGCCAGGTGGGGAGTTTGTTGGGGCTGACAGGGCTGATGGGCAGGAGACTTTCCGGGGGATGATGATTGGTGTGCTTCACCAGCAAAGATGTTCTGGTTGGTGGTGACTGGAACCATGGAATTTTACATGACTTTTCATATTTTGGGAATAATCAAATCATCCCAACTGACTTGAACTCCATATATTTTTCAGAGGAGTGGCGAAAAACCACCAACCAGTGTTACCATCCGGTTTTATTTTCCGGTGGCAAGGGAACATCCACACCAATTTTTTTCGGGGGGATTTGCCAGCTGGCCATGTTTGAGCCATTGATCGTGGGGATATCACGCATGTTCCGAAGCACCAAATGTTCGGAGAGCTCATGCTCATTGTAGGATAAGACCTTCCCATTGCTTAGCAAATTGAAATGGTTACAATGTGGGCAAAGCAATGGTAAACCACCCATAGAAATTGATGCTTTATACCACCCATTAATGGTAAAATGGGGGATGGTTCACTAATGCTTTCCCAACATTATAAGAGGACATGTCCGACGGGTGACATCCACGGCCGTCACACGAACATCGGAGGCCAAGCCGATAGTTGAAGGGTAAAAGTTGCTGTCATGGCCAGCATTTCTGTGGCTTCACAATCTTCCATCTGCATCCCTTCTAGTTTGAATCACCGCAGTCGGTGGTTGAACCATGTTGAAGCGACATTTTTGGAACTAACAACCAATCCTCAAAATCAAAACTGCAGAAGGATCACCCTACACTATAGTCTTCCAATATCTTCCAATGCAATCTCTCCACTTTCCGTTTTATTTTTGCAATCCGCAAAAATAAATTTCAGAGTTGGACACCCGGAAATGACGGAACAAATACATCATCTTCGTCACACCGCGGAAAGAAAACACCTAATTCATAAAAAACATCAATAAATCGATCCATTCTTTTTTTTTGTTTGGAACCCCCCGAAAAAAACAAGAAGCACCCATCATGCACCAGCGATGCTGGTGGGATTTCAAGTGTCTCCAGCCACGAGTCGAGCTGCACCGAGGCATCTGGATTTCCTCTTTGAGGCCGAGCGAAAAGGCACCAGCTGCACCGAGGGAGTGGAGGCGCTGGGCGCCCGCGACTTCTTTCAGACGGATGAGTTGCACGCTTAAAGGAAGGGGGGGAAAACCAAGGTGGATCACCCCCCAAAATGGGATATGTATATATATATATAATATGTATATATAATATATATATATATATATATGTATATAAATATGTATATGTATATAAATATGTATATATATATACATATGTATATATACATATGTATATAAATATGTATATGTATATAAATATGTATATATATATACATATGTATATATATATATATACATATATATGTATGTATGTATGTATGTAGGTAGGTAGGTAGGTAGGTAGGTATGTGTGTATGTATGTATGTATGTATGTATGTATGTATGTATGTATGTATGTATGTATGTATGTATGTATGTATGTATGTATGTATGTAGTATGTATGTATGTATGTATGTATGTATGTATGTATGTATGTATGTATGTATGTATGTATGTATGTATGTATGTATGTATGTATGTATGTATGTATGTATGTATGTATGTGTATAGACCAAAGATGGTTTGTAGGGGTAACAATCCCCACCATGAAAAAACAACAGACATGGGGATTGAACGCATCTATGATTCTGGGATGATGGTGATGAAGGCATCGAGTTGGTGATTTTCCAAGCTGTGGATTTCGCTTGGTTTCTGTTGATGCATAACTAGGCCAACTGTTCGGTTGTGGATCAATGGATATAAATGGGATATATCCGGGTTTGAAACTTTGATATACCCAGAAATTGCCTTTTTAGCAGCGGAAACGGAAACATTTGTTTTCTTAAGAACTAGATTTTTTTTTAGGCGCTCGCGACATTGGCCCCGTTTTTTTAGATCTCTGAAGGTTGGTGATTTCGTCTCTGGAGTTGTGTGAAAAGCTGATCGACCCGATCGACCCAGACTCACCTCTTAGCTGAATTTTGATTTCAATCTGGGGAATCAGTCCGGAGAACTTCCTGTCATGGCAGCCATTTTTAGCACCATGGAAATCAATGGAACTGGTTGAACTGCTGGGTTGCTCCCGTAGTCGCCATGGCCATGAGCCAATGGCTGACTGTCTGAAGACGGGACCCCCGAATCCAAGGGTTTTTGTGAATTTTTCCTCAGAAGAATGGCACCATAAATTGGAGTGTGGGATTGACCACACTGTCTACACTCAATTTTCAATCAAACCCAAGTGCCATTGATTCCCGCCACCAGCGCATGGCATCATGGAATCATGGGGGCATTGACAGCTTTTGTCGCTGACACAAAAGGCTTCCGAGTCAATAGTTGGATTACATCCCCATATTGGGGGATGGTCATAGCACCATGAATGGGGATCCATATGCCCATGATGTTTGGAATTTATCGAGTGGACCACCGATCTTCTGCTCATTTCAGTCCGAAAAAGGTGCTTCCCCCTAAGTTATGCTTGTTGGTTTATAAACCATAGTATATAACTATAGTAACTATATTTTTTTGTCTCATAAACCCAAGTGAGATTGCAGGTATGTGGCCAGCAACTTAGAAAAATTGAGTTCACTGGGGCACCACCTCATGACGTGTCAAACTCCATTGGTTGGCATGGGAAGGCCGATACGATAAAACCCTGCCTCCTTGGTGACAGGGATTCAACCAGGGGAGCTAGCACTCACTGAGGGTAAATTTGGGTGAAGTGTAGCTTAAGGTTTCATGACTCTTGGCCAAAATTGGCAAGCTGAAATTGATGTTGTTTTGCCGCATGACTATTGCCCATCCACTAAAACGGCCATAAAGCAAGATGATGCTATTCAGGCCCTGGCCCTGCTCAGATTCAGTGTGTTGCATGCTGACATAGCCTGTGGTTTCTGGATAGGACACGCATTATTAGAGTAGAGCGGTTATCCAGCCTGAAGTGAAGCAAGACAAAGCTTTCATTATGACTGAAAGTATTATTGCTTACTTCTCAAAGGTCAGGTCTTCGGCGGCGAACTTTTTTTTTTGGGAACTGTACGCACGGCACAAAGAACCAGCATGAGGGTAGCTGCATTCAGCTTGGACAAGGTCATGTTGATGGAAATAAGTTTCCAGTTGAAGCCCTTTTGGTTGAACAAGAGCTGCAGAACTTGAAGCTGAGCACTGGCCGGAAGCTTACATGCTAGGGCCAACTTGCCCGCCTATGCAAGCGCATGTCTTAAACAGCGGCCCGTCACGTCTCCTGGGGCAGCATCCTATATGCCGCCAGAACTTGCGAGAATAATTTGCCGCCAGCATTGGAGGTGGCCACGGGCATTTGGATTTTCACTGAGTTGGCCACAGTGTCTCGGCACATGCGCGCACAGAACCTGCGCACTTGAGGTTGCAAGAAAAGATGAAATCTTTATCCCTTTCGGAGACTTGGTGGCACATAAGGACATGGCTGGTCAGGGGCAGGGTGGGACCGCAAGTTGCGCCTTGGGCGCGCTTTGCAGCTGTTTAGCGCATAAATGGCCCTTGCAGTTTTCGTCCCCAGCCGCCTGCCCCTGAGGGTTTTGAAGAGGCACGGTTTGTAAACGGGCGCCCGTCGCTCACATGTTAGCCGCAATTGAAGCCCTGCCATGTTCGGTTGAGCAAGCAACCTGCTAAAACATGCAGATATTTGCCAGCCACGGTTAAACCTGTAACCTGTTGCTAAGTTACTTCTTGTCGGATCGCATTTGCCGCTTTTGGGGGTTGACCATAGTCGACTTGCTTGTGCATATTTTCCACTATGAAACACATCTAGATTTCTACACCATCTGGCCCTCGAAGAAAGGAGGGGGATCATCAAAACGGTTGGGTTTTGATTTTGTGTTATACATAAATGTGCATGTAGGTGCATGTGTCTACAGAACATGTTCATGTATAGTAGGTGTGTGTGTATATATATATATTTTTACTTATGTGTATGTATATAGACCCGCATATTTGTTTATATATATATAATATGTATATATATATATATATGAAACAGCCATGTAGTAAAAAAATGGTTCGTTTTTGTGCGTCAAGCTGCAGGCGAGTGTGTGAGAGCAGTGTGTGAGAAGGTGTGCGTAAGTTGGCAGGTGCATATGATTTTGCCAATGATAGCAGACATGGTATGTGTTTTTTTGGTTTTGTTCTTCAACATTCGTAGGTGATTTGATTGCTTTGAGACATTTGGCTGGCAATTGCCCCCTGGCGGGCTGCATATGCAATTTAGAATATCATATTCAATTGGTCGCAAGGACAGCTGGCACCACAATGGTGTTTCCAAATTGCCAAATTTTTACATAGATGCACCCGTTTGTCAGAGTTTTTTTGGTTTTGGTGATTGGCGATTGTTATTTGTATTTGTTGCCTTCAGTCACATGTTTGGTTCCAGGTCTATGTTTTTTCGGTTCCAATCGTGCCGTCTGTGTTGATCATGCCTTCGCTATCATCGTCTACAAGGTGACCGACAAAAAGTGGTTTGAACAAAATTTCAAGTCAAATCCCCATCAGGTTCCCATTTTGACATGTGAAATCCCTTTCAAATCCCAATGTTTGATGGTTAGATCACCTTTGAAATCCCAATTTTGAGATGTTGAATCCCTGTTAAACGCATTCTTTTTATCGTTTGACACCCCGTCGGTTGCATCACATTTTTTCAAATGTTAAGTCTCTTTCAAATCATTTTTTTCATCAGTTTTGATCGTTAAATCCGCGTTAGATTTCCATGTTGAAATGTAAAAATCCAAATTTTGATCCTTAAATCCCGGTTAGATCCACAGTTTCAAATACAAAACCCCCGTTTAATCACCAATTTCATACGTTAAACCGACCTTAGATGGAAATTTCTTTATGGTTCAACTGTTTTGACATGTTACACCCCCCTTAGATTTCATTTTTCATACTCAAATCAAGGTTAACATTTATGCTACTAGTATATGGTGGTAGGAAGGAACGGTTTGGACTTATGACCTATGAACAATGGGGAGCCAAGGAACTAGGAATTGAGTTTCGCAACCACATGATAAACTCCACTTACATCGCCCTCAAATCCAACATCAAATCTTCACTTTATTTCGGCATGTTCAATACCCATGAGATGCCCATTTTTGATGCTCAATTCCCACGAAAGTTCCGATTTTGGATGGGGAATCGCTACAGCCCTGGCGGTTTCGTCCCAAGGACCACTTCGATTCCTTCGGCAAGGCGCGCTTTCAACGGCTCGGTTTGGCCTTTGCGGCGAAGCAGATGATGCCGCAGCAGATGGCCAAGCTGCCTGGAGAATGAAGATTTCTACCGGGGGTGCACACCAATGGATGGTTCACTGCATGGAAAATCCCACTAAAAATGGATGATAACTAGGGGTACCCCCATATTTTCGGAAACCCCATATCTATGTATTATAGAGTCATCCTGGAGTTGAATATGGACTTTTCAAAAATATTCTAATTTTTCATGTTTTTCTCTATATCCATATTCTATCTACTCCATGATGACGGTATATACATTAATATATATATATACACAGAAGGATATATATATATATGTATCGTATAGTATAGCCTATTTATACCGCACTATGGTTATAAATCAACATTTTTGCTGGTCATATCCCCTATACATCAAAATCTGGAGTTGATACATATTTAGCCTGGACTTGAAGATTCTGGATCCATGGAACTGAGATGTACATGGGAGTTTCAAAAAAATTCGGACCCCAAAGTCCAAAGTCATCCAAAAACTGATTGGGTATATCTAGAGGATAAATAATACTTACTTAAAGCATACAGGAATTGATATGTATGTGTATATATATATATGTATATATATATATATATATGTATATATATATATGTATATATATATGTTGTATATATATATGTACATATATATACAACACACACACAGATATATATCACATATATATATATACAACATATATATATATACACATACATGTATAGGGGGTATGATCAGCAAAAATGTGGATTTATAACCATAGTGGTGTATAAATAGGCTATACGATACACACACACACATATATATATAGAATCACCACTAGACTATTTAGTGGGATATGGTTTGATGAAGATTCTACTGTAGAAATACCATGGAAGATGGTCAATCTACGATACCTTGGAAGAAAAAGCATAGCTGGTTAGGTTGAACCATCCCCATTTGAGGTGAGACAATATAACCCAGGTTTCTCCGCATAAGGGATGACCAGTCAATTCGATGATTTTGGGGTCACCAATGCCGGGAAACCACCAAGTGGCCATTAAACAATAGGGTAAATCATCAACCAGTGGATTGAGGGTACGTTTTGCCAATGAAAATATGGGACTGGCCACAGCCAAATGAGCAATCTTAGTGTAGTGGACACTATGATGAGTATATACCCTCTGGTTATTTAACATAGCCTTGGGAAATGACCCATTTATAGATGGTTACTTATTAAAAAATTGTGATTTTCCATGCCTTTGTCAAATAACCAGATGGTAATCAGTGGATTTAGGGTTACCACTTACCACCGTTTTCTAAAGTATTTGCTTAGTTGATTCGCTTTCCAGCTGAATTTCTTTCCAAACTGTGGATAGCAGCAAAAGTGGCGAATAAAACCAAAACAAACTGCGGGTGTGTCTAAGAAAAGGAGGCTGCCGTTTTTTCATGGCCGTTTTAGGCTTCACACCCACCCCAATGCACAGATTACATTTCCATTTCTGTGCAAGTTGACATGAACGTTATTGCCCCACCCATCCCACCCAACCCCACCCCAAATGACAGAAACACATATTCCATTGCGGGTTTCTACATGCGTGAATGGTTTTAGTGGACAATAATGAATCATGCTATTTTGGGTTACTCTATTCTAAAACAACTTCACCAAAATCTGAATCTATCCTCTGATAATTCAATATAACTCTGGAAAACCACAATTTTTTACTACGTAAATCAACTATTTCTATGGGGCATTTTCCATAGCTATGTCAAATTACCGGAGGGTAGGGGACAGCCTCCTATTTTTCCCGAATGCGTAGCGAAGGGTTCCCGTTTATAGTCTGGGGGTCTGGGGGCTGGACCCTTGTTCGCCTCGAGTGTCTGGTCGGGTCGGCGTCGCGTCGTCGTCGGGTCGTTAATTCCGTGTCTATGGGGGAAGCTGCAAAACCTCTCCTTTTCAAAGGTTTCCAAGCAGGTTGTCATGTCGTTTTGCGTGGCAGGCGTGGCACTTTGTGACATTCCAACCTGTTTGATAACGTGCCGAAAGGATCAAAATTGGAGGACGTCTCGCACGAAATGCTCGTTTTGCTGCGCCCACGTGTCTCGTCTCGAGTCTCTGGTTTTCTAGACGCGTCGCCGTGTCTATGGGGGAAGCTGCAAAACCTTTCCTTTTCGAAGGTTTCCAAGCAGGTTGTCATGTCGTTTTGCGTGGCAGGCGTGGCACTTTGTGACATTCCAACCTGTTTTATACGGTGTAGAAATTTCTTTTGTGTGGCTGGCGCAACAATGCACTCCACACTTTACACTCTACACTTTACACTCCACACTCTACACTCCACACTCTACACTCCACACTCCACACTCTACACTCCACATTCCACACGTGCTCCTGGATGTCACTTGCGTGCGTAGTTATATCGTGTTTTGCAAGTGGTCGCCGTCAATCCCACTGTAATTGCAACGCGAATGGAGTTCACGTGTCAATTTTTCTCATTTTGACGGCTTTCATTTTCCTTTTAAATTTCTAATTACAAAACGTTGCAAAATTGCATTTTTGGAGCTTGGATGTCGAAATCCGGTTTTTGGAGCTGCCCTTCGGCGCCTATTGTGCGCAATTCTATTCTGTTTTGCATTTGACGGCTGCGCTGGTGCTTTCGTTGTTCTGGTGATTTCGTTGTGTTGCGCTGGTGATTTTGTTGTGATTTCATTGCGCTGGTGATGTTGTTGTGCTGGTGATGTTGTTGTGCTGCTGGTGGTGATCTCGTTGTGCTGCTGATGTTGTTGTGCTGGTGATTTCGTTTTGCTGGTGATTTGGTTGTGCTGGTGATTTCGTTTGTGCTGGTGATTTTGTTGCGCTGGTGCTGTTCGCTGGTGATTTCGTTGTGCTGGTGATGTTGTTGTGCTGGTGATTTCGTTGTGCTGGTGATTTCGTTGTGCTGGTGATTTCGTTGTGCTATTGCAGAATCATCTGTTCTTATTGTGTGTCTCTTTGTGAGTTAGTTGTCTCTTTGTGAACTGTTGATGAGGTGCCTTCGCTGAGACGATATGAGCGCACGATGTATGAAAAAAAAGGTTCGTGTTCCTATTGCAGAGGTTTTCACTCGTAGTCCAAGAACGTGAATACATTCGGGTTCGTGGCTTCCATCTTGTTTGTTTTTTTTTGGTAAGTCATCTATGAATAGACCAACTTTCCAGATTGATCCAAGGTACAGTTCCGTGAGTGAGAAACCTATGACACCCAGGCCGGGAGACGGAGATTGCGTACAGTAACCATAGAGAGGAAGGTAGACGCGGGATTTCATTATCTATATCCATATATATATATACATATGTACACATATGTACAATAAATATCAATATATATATATATACATATGGTTTTACGATTATATATATATATATACATATGACAATATTTATTATTTAATATATATATATATACATGTTTCATATATATATATACACATACATGTGGTTACCATTTTTGGGATAGATATTTCCATGATAGAGGAAACCATCTCAGTACATGTACGATAAAATGTAAAGAAAACATATTCATAAATCTAATTTTATTCTTCATATTCATCGTATCTATAGATATACAGATAATCCAATTTACCAGCTTGCCATTTTTCTATCCGCTCCGCTCTTTTGTGCTGGGTCTTCCAAGTTGTGACCTTTCGTTTGGGAAGATCCAAATCAATGGGGTTTCACGGGATTTCATGGGATTTCATGGGGGTTCAATGTGGATTTCACCAACTAATGTGGGGATACAATGGGATGTAATTGGGATATTCTGGGAGCAAATAACTAATGATATGATATCTCCAAATACATGGCGTAACCACCGAACCTATGACATCAGCATCCTCTAGAATGGAGGTTTTTGAGACTACAGTGTTTTAGGTTTTTGCTTTGATTTAGATATGAATTGTTTGTATATTTATGATTTGTTTGCCTGGCTTTGCAGTTATGATTTTGATACGGTTTCAGTTATGGTTTTTATATGTTTTCAATATGAGTTTTGATGTGGGTCAGGAACTGTGATTTCAGTTTTTGATTTTCGTATACAGTATGTTTTGAACACACATCAGGAACATATCAGAACCATATCAAAACCATATCCAAAGTTCATAACCCCAAATTCAATGCATATCAAAATCATATCTCAAAATCATCTCAAAACCAGATTTAATTCAAATTGGATTCCCGCATGTACCGTTGAATCTCCTGTGACGGGAAAAACACTGGTTTCCAAACCAACATTTCCGTTCCGTTCATCCCAATAAGGTGTGTATGTTTGGTCACAAGCCGTACATCGACCTCTGAACCCTTTCCACCTTTGAGCCATAATCAAATAGGCAACGCAACAAGAAGAAATGTCTATGTCCAATCAAGACTGCGCTCGCGTAGAATGGACACGGATAACTTTACTTGGGGTTTCCTAAAATAGGGGTACCCGAAATCATTCAAAATTATACCGTTTTAGTATTGGAACCCATGCCTTTGGGGTACCGTACCACCATTTTAGGAAACCCCTATTTGGTGATTTTCTGTCTAGGACCCCCCCACTTCTTTCCAAAAGTCGTGATGCTCTTCGCGTGTCAGGAAAGGTGACAAGTCTGCAAAAGCCTTCATCATGTCACAGGAAGCCTTGTCGGAGGAGATACGGCCGTGGGCGCCCACAGGTGAAATTTCTGGATACAAAACCATCATTTCCGGGGTGTTCTCCCAACTTTTGGAGGTCAAGATCCCCTGGTTACAGCCATTTTGTTTTCCTCTCTGGCCTGCTACTCCACGGGCAAAGCCGTCGCCAGCATCAAGTCATAGGACAAATGTAGGTTACAAAACAGATGCGGCGTTGGAGAGCGAGGTCAGGCCCCCGAATTTTTGCTAGAGGCAGGAACACCCCGTTCTCATATAGCACGCCCCCCAATTTCAAAAGATAGATAGATAGATAGATAGGTAGATAGATAGATAGATAGATAGATAGATAGATAGATAGTTATATATATATATAAACGCATTTTATCAATTTCTCACCTCCGACTTACCTTCAAGAGATTTAAAAATTTTTTACCAGTAGGATTTCACTTTTTGATCTTGACTTAGGGGTTTCTACCATCTGTATAGATGCAAAACTTCAATATATTGCAGGGGGATGAGGGTCCCTTGGTGTACCTCATCTAACAAAGACCGCACCAAGTGGATGCGATATCGGTGCCTGGCCAGCGTTGACGTACCTGCAATTTTATAATATCATATAATATTAAAGTCCCGCCCCTGGGCGCATATAAGTCGCAGCTGGGGGGGACATATAGTTTATCGCTGTTGCTTTATAGGACCAACGTCTACTGTGATTATACGTCTATATATATATATATTCTTATTATTTTTCATTCTTCGTGTCAGTGTACTGTTGGTGTTTTTGCACGTCCGATGCATTCCACATCAAAAATTGCAATGACTGTTCTGAGCAAGTGTGTGATTCATGCTGGATTCGTCAAGGTGGCATGAACCCTTCGGGGAATGCTTTTCTAAGCAGAATGTGGATGCAACGACCCGATGTCTGAATTTACAGATTTCAATTTAGTAATTCGTTTAAGTAAAGTGAAACAGTTGTTCACCTTTCAGGTCTCACTCTGTCAGTCGATTTGTTAAACCACTGCCCGCTGTATCGGGACTCACCACTTTTACTGGAGAGCAGCTGCATAGCCTGAAGCCGCGCCAACAATTTCCTTTTCTGAACCATGCTCGAGAGTTGACTGACATTTCACAGACATGACCTCAGCAAGGAACTTACAGGCAGGTCCACGTCCTTAGGTTTGGTCTTTTGTCTCTTGATGGTCCCTGGTGAGGTTCAAATGTGCACGCAATTCATTTGAACTCTGACAGCCGTCTATGTGTTTGACGTGAAATTGAGGCCTTTGAGCCTGAAACAAGGGGAAACTTGCACGATCGTGTGGATGTATAATTTCATTAACTAGTCCCCCATGGTTCCCCTATTTCATGTGTTCGCCTCTCTACAGGTAGGTTGGGTCCTTCGCGTGCTGAGGTGGGCGTAGGTTTTCGCCGTGTTGGGTTGGTTCAGGCGCTTCCGTCTTCCCCCCCCTCCGCTGGTCTTGTTCCGTTGTCCATCGGCCTCCGCTTTTCTTTTCCCTTGCCTTTTCAGGGTTTGCCCGTTCCGGGCCAGGTGTGTTGTGTTGGTGTTCTCTCTGTCCTCTTCTTTTGCGTTCCCCTCTTCGCGTCCTGGTTAAGTAAATTTCATTTCATTTTCATTGTCATCTCACTTTCATTTTCATTTCATCTTGCCCGCTGCGGTGGGGCGTGTGTGTGTGTGTGTACCATCTGTAAAGATGTAAAACGTCAATATATTGCAGGGGGATGAGGGTCCCTTGGTGTGCCTCATCTAACAAAGACCGCACCAAGTGGATGCGATATCGGTGCCTGGCCAGCGTTGACGTACCTGCAATTTTATAATATAATATAATATTAAAGTCCCGCCCCTGGGCGCATATAAGTCGCAGCTGGGGGGGACATATAGTTTATCGCTGTTGCTTTATAGGACCAACGTCTACTGTGATTATACGTCTATATATATATATATTCTTATTATTTTTCATTCTTCGTGTCAGTGTACTGTTGGTGTTTTTGCACGTCCGATGCATTCCACATCAAAATTTGCAATGACTGTTCTGAGCAAGTGTGTGTTACTCGGGGGTTTTCTTGTTGATTGGTCCCAAGTTGTAACTGGGTGGAATCTAGCCTCGCGGCATCCTAACATGGAACCTGATCATTTTGCTTTACACCGTTAGATAACGTTAGCTTTTGGGTCCGGAAGCCCTTTCCAACGCTTCAGTGTTTCTTGTCCCAGGACAACAAGCGATGGATGGAGCACACCAAGACAATCCTGGATGCCATTCAGGCCACGGATGGCATGTTGCGTCCACTTTTCTTTATGGCTTTACTGCCGCGGCCAACATTTTGTGGGTCCAGAATCTAGCGACATTTTTTGGGTCACGTCTTGATGGCCGTGAAGGTCTTCCGCATTTCCGGTACAAGACCAGCAGCCCTCATATTTCCTCGGCAAGTTCAGCATCACTATCACTTGGTTAATGTGTTTTACAACAATTGATGGTATACCAATATTCAACCAGTTTTTTTTAAATCACTTGGTAGTAAAAAAACACTGGTATATCACCTTTTTTTGAATGTTTACCACCAGTCATCAAGATTTTTCCCATGGCTGGTGTTTTTTCCATCACCTCCAGGAGTCGGATCGTCACAAGGACGAAGATGTCAAAGAACGGCAGGCGTGGAGGAGATGGGCGGCGACCGATTCGGTGGGGCGTGGAGGAGATGCAGGTCCTGGAAGAAGGAGGAGATCTAATATTGATAAATAAATAAATAAATATATATATATCTATGTTAAATATCTGTATGTATGTATATATGTATGTATGTATGTAATGTTATGTATGTATGTATGTATGTATGTATGTATGTATGTATGTATGTATGTATGTTACTATGTATGTATGTATGTATGTCTGGATGTATGTATGTATGTATGTATGTATGTATGTATGTATGTATGTATGTATGTATGTATGGTATGTATGGTATGTATGGTATGTATGGTATGTATGGTATGTATGGTATGTATGGTATGTATTGTATGGATGTAATGGATTAATGTATGTAATGTATGTAATGTATGTAATGTATGTAATGTATGTAATGTATGTAATGTATGTAATGTATGTAATGTATGTAATGTATGTAATGTATGTAATGCTGTAATGTATGTAATGTATGTAATGTATGTAATGTATGTAATGTATGTAATGTATGTAATGTATGTAATGTATGTAATGTATGTAATGTATGTTTATGTATCAGTAATGTGTATGTAATGTATGTATGTATGTATTATGTGATGTATGTGATGTATGTAATGTATGTAATGTATGTAATGTATGTAATGTATGTAATGTATGTAATGTATGTAATGTAATGTAATGTAATGTAATGTAGTGTATGTAATGTATGTAATGTATGTAATGTATGTAATGTAATGTAATGTAATGTAATGTATGTAATGTAATTTAATGTATGTAATGTATGTAATGTAATGTAATGTAATGTAATGTAATGTAATGTAATGTATGTAATGTATGTAATGTATGTAATGTAATGTAATGTAATGTAATGTATGTAATGTATGTAATGTATGTAATGTATGTAATGTATGTAATGTATGTAATGTATGTAATGTATGTAATGTATGTATGTATGTATGTATGAATGTATGTAATGTATGTAATGTATGTAATGTATGTAATGTATGTAATGTATGTAATGTATGTAATGTATGTAATGTATGTAATGTATGGAATGTATGTAATGTATGTAATGTATGTAATGTATGTAATGTATGTAATGTATGTAATGTATGTAATGTATGTATGTATGTATGTATGTATGTATGTATATAATGTATGTATATAATGTATGTATATAATGTATGTATGTATGTATGTATGTATGGTATGTATGTATGGTATGTATGTATGGTATGTATGTAATGTATGTATGTATGTATGTATGTAATGTATGTAATGTATGTAATGTAATGTAATGGAATGGAATGTAATGGAATGGAATAGAATGGAATGGAATGTAATGTAATGGAATGTATGTATGTATGTATATATGTATGTATGTATGTATGTATGTATGTATGTATGTATGTATGGTATGTATGGTATGTATGGCATATATGGTATGTATGGTATGTATGGTATGTATGGTATGTATGGTATGTATGGTATGTATGGTATGTATGTAATGTAATGTAATGTAATTTAATGTAATGTAATGTAATGTAATGTAATGTATGTAATGTAATGTAATGTATGTATGTATATTGATATCATGGTATCCCTTAGCTTTTATCATCCAAGGATGCGAAGTAGCTAACCTAACTGACCTGCGATCTTTTCAGTACTGACTGTGTGTTCAATGGTTGATTGCCAGCCTGATTCACCTGGTAAAACCCGTTTGGTTTGTTGAGCATTGGAGGATCTAAATCCTCGTCGTTCGAACGGACCGTAGTCCGTGTTGAAGAGAAATGATGGCAGTGTATCATTGGGAACTCATCCCTCTTGGTGGTGGAGTGCTTTTTAGTCTACGAACAGATGCGAAATTATACACAAACGAAAAAACATAGGATTTATATTGATTTTTATGAATTGTATACATTCACATGTGGGTCTAAATATATGAATCTATATGAATCTATATGAATCTATATGAATCTATATGAATCTATAGGAGAAACACAAGAAATCTATGTCATCTGTCATCAAAGAGCCATGGTTTCCACATTTCTCCCCGTTGTCAGGTGGCGATTCTCTTCGCCGAGCTGCCAAAGTTTCTGCATCTGTTGCCCGCCTCAGTGCCACAGAGCAGTTTGGAGCTGGAACTGAACCGCGAGGACCCGGTAACAACGGTGTGAAAATGGGATACCCTCTGGTAAACATACAAAAACTATTGAAAATGGCCATTTATAGTGAATTTTCCCATTAAACATTGTAATTTTCCATAGCTATGTTAAATTACCAGAGGGTAATGTGGGTAAAACAATAATCATAAACCACCCATGACTGGGAATGGTTTATACCACCTATAAAATCCTATAAAAATGGTGATTTGGGGGATTGCTTATGGCATTGTTTTACCATGTCCCACATTACTCCCAAATCACCAGTTTTTTTTCAGAATTCTTCCATAGAAAATGGCCATTTGGCTTTTTCCATTTTTTCCCTAAACTCAGAGCACCCTATTTTTTCCTTATTCTGGCTGGTTCCAAATCCCAAATCTGGTTGGTGAATCCCATGATAAATCTCCATTACTTTCTATCATTTCACAGATCTCAACTTTCCTAACACTGAATCCCACCAAGAAATCCCCCCATTTAAGGGCATCTTACAAACATCTCTGGTTCCTCCCCACGAAAAATCTCCATCCTTGACCTGATCTCCGTCCTTTTTTTCGTCCACCAGGAAGACCCCCAGATGCGATGGCTGAGTTTGCGGCAGAACAGTCTCCTACGGCAGCCCGTTGCGGCCTGGCGCTTCCGGCGCAATGAGGTACTCATGCTGCTGCAGGCGCCGGAAATGGAGTGGGTGGATGGGTGGGTTGAAATGGACTGTTTCAATGAAAGGATCTGGGATTTTGTGTGTTTTTTGGTGTAGTTAGAGTAGTAATTATGGTTGAAATTGTGGTGCGCTGCATAGGTGTCAGGCATACTTGTAGTTGTTGTTCGAGATCTTTGCTGCCGTTGAGCTCCATGGTTTAATCAACCAGCAAGGAGTGAGCCAAGACTTTGGTCGCTGTTCAGATAGTCAAACTTTGGGATCCTGTGACCACAGGCTTTGATCATTGTTTGGTACCAGGTACCAAACCATTTTATGGTGCGTAACTCTGAAGCATTACCACCTGTGTACTGGGAGAATCCGCCCAAGAACTACCGAATTTTTATGCGCGATTGATCTACCCGAAGGCCTTGATTCCCATGCGAGATCTGGTCCATCCCATGACTATATTTGAGCAATACGCCCTGGGATGTTAGTTTCTTTCATTCTCAAAGAACTCGAAAAAGGCAGGTGGTTTGCTCTCTTTCAGTTCACTTTTTTGGTATCCCCATTTTGGACATCTATGTTCGGCAAAAACTGGTGGGACCCTTTATTGCAGTACCAAAACTGGTTGCTGGTGGTTGGATACATGCATCGCATTTGCATTGCATGACACGACACGGCACGACATGACAATACATGACGTACATGTCACGTGTATATGATATGTATATATATATAATATATATATATATATCATAAAGATATCGAATGTATGTATATGTATATGTATATGTACATGTATATGTATATGTATATGTATATGTATATGTATATGTATGTATATGTATATGTATATGTATATGTATATGCATATGCATATGCATATGTATATGTATATGTATATGTATATGTATATGTATGTAATGTAATGTAATGTAATGCAATGCAATGTAATGTAATGTAATGTATGTATGTATGTATGTATGTGTCTGTGTATGTATGTGTGTGTATGTATGTGTGTGTATGTATGTGTATGTATGTATGTGTATGTATGTATGTATGTATGTATGTATGTATGTATGTATGTATGTATGTATGTATGTATGTATGTATGTATGTATGTATGTATGTATGTAATTATGTAAGTTAATGTATGTAATGTATGTAATGTAATGTAATGGAATGGAATGGAATGGAATGGAATGTAATGTAATGTAATGTAATGTATGTATGTATGTATGTATGTATGTATGTATGTTACTATGTATGTATGTATGTATGTCTGGATGTATGTATGTATGTATGTATGTATGTATGTATGTATGTATGTATGTATGTTACTATGTATGTATGTATGTCTGTCTGTATGTATGTATGTATGTATATATATATACAGTATATATATATTATACACACATACATATGCATAAATCTACATAAGTGTGAATATGTTTTGCAGGCACGTACATTTCTGCGAATCATCGCAGTGTATAGCTTGTCAGAAAGTCGGTTTAGAAGCTCTCATTTTACGGAGGATTTGATGGTCATAATTCTAGAGTGAGAAAAATCTGAACAACCTTATGCTTGTTCAGATATCCAGTCTATTTCCATTCTATCCCCATGACACCTCAAAAATCATGATTTCATATGACTTTCCCGTGAAGATTCGAGAATTTTCTTCCAACCCTGGTCATTTTCGTTCTCCAAAGCTTCCTGCGTTACGCGCCAACGCGGTTCAGGTGCTGAAGGCCTGGACCTTGTCCTCTTGGCCCAAGGGCGGAGCGGAGATGGGCATGGATCGCGCCAGCTTCTGTAGGCGCCGTGGACTTCGGATCCAGCTTCTATAATCCATATAGATTTAAATCCATATAGAACCTAATCTATCTATCTATCTATCTATCTATATATATATATATGGTTCATTATGGATTATAGCACCATATAACCATTTGTTAACCACAATGGTTCATTATAGCACCATATAGAACTGGGGATATTCCATATATATAATATATACATATGTATATCATTATATAAAACTGGGGGGTATATATATATATATCTATTATCCCACTTACAAAACGTGGTGATGCTTTAGTATTATTTGCCAGTGTTTTGGGGACTGGCCGTGGTGACTGGTTGGAACGTGTTGCTACTAAAAAGTGATAGAAACGTATCCTTTCTCATGTGTGAACAAACATGTTACATTGTTACATTTCGTGTACAGAACGATGATGAAAAATCCTTGCCTTTCATTTGATTGATGGCTGGAGTTGCACATTTTCAAACGGGAATATCTGAATTTTCCTTCATAGAGCTACCAGTTGCTGTCACGAACCGGTATTTTAGTTGCTCACATCCCCATCTGGCATTGAGAAATTGCTTGTCTCCCCCTGGTAGTGCTGATGTTGGAGCCGGCTCCGGATTCCTCAACCGCTTTCGGTTGCTAGCTGCTAAGATCCGTTTTTTCTCCATTTCTCAAGAGTGAATTTTCCGCAAAATGGCGACATTTCTAGCATTGTTGGCCAGGTAGGTGAAGCATGGTCAATGATGTTCGTTGAGTCAGCCACTTTCAATTTGGCAAATGGGTCAAAACTGGGAGACTAGACTTACGACTTATATATCCAGCAAAAATACTCAACATTAGGACCTCCCAAAGAGATCAAAAAGTACAATTCTAGTTTTTTTTTTGTGTGTGATAAACTTCAGATCATCATCATCATCATCATCACCATCACCATCACCATCACCATCACCATCACCATCACCATCACCATCACGGTCGGGGGTTCGCTTGGAGCGCCGAAAAGTGGATCGCTTAGAGCGCCGGAAAGTGGATCGCTTGGACCGCCGAAAAGTGACATAAGAGATACATAGCGCATCATAGCGCTAGAGTTCCATATATGCGCAGAGGCATATAGACACATAAATGGATGCGTTCATATGTCGCTGATGCACGCGATAACATTCAATGCGATCCGCTTTTCGGCATTACTTGACGAAGAAACGTATCAGGAACGTCTTGCAACTTACTTGAAGAAGATGCTCCAACGTATCAGGAACATCTGGCAAATTACTTGAAGAAGATGTTACGACATATCAGGAACAGCTTGCAAGTCACTTGAAGAAGATGTTACAAGGTAGCAGGCACGTCTTGCATGTTACTTGAAGAAGATATGACAACGTATCAGGAACGCCATGGAAGTTACTTGAAGAAGATGTTGCAACTTATCAGGAACGTCTTGCAAGTGACTTGACGGAGATGTTAGAACATATTATCCGGAATGTCTTGCAAGTTACTTGACGAAGATGTTACGCCGTATCAGGAACGTCTTGCAAGTTACTTCAAGAAGATGTGCCGTAGTAAGGGCCCGTAAGGGCCCGTAAGGGCTCGGGCCCATGAGCCCGTAGAGCCCGTAGAGCCCGTAGGGCCCGTAGGGCCCGTGGAGCCCGTGGAGCCCGTGGAGCCCGTGGAGCCCGTAGAGCCCTTAATGGGCATAAGGGCCGTCTTTCTTACAGTATATCCGACACGCATTGTGGCTCTTTCTAGCCCACGTATTTATGAAAAATCAAAAATCTATCTGACATTGTAATTTGCATTTTTCTGACATATATTCTGATATTTTATCAGTCGTTCTTGCAGTATATCCGACACGCATTCTGGCTCTTTCTAGCCGACGTATATATGAACATTCTATCTGACATTGTATCTGGCATTTTCTGACATATATTCTGATATTCTATCAGGCAGTTGTTCTTGCAGTATATCCGACATGCATTCTGGCTCTTTCTAGCCGATGTATATATGAACATTCTATCTGTCACGTTAGGATATACAAAGAACGGCGCGACCGTGACTAGATTTGTAGCTGTTGAGCGAGCGTAGTGAGTAGTGACCCGTGTTTTTCCATGGGAGGCTTTAGGGTGGGAACTTTATTCACATAAGTAGCAGGGCTATGACCATTTTTGGTTGCACCAAACGCCCTCTCTTTCTCATAAGTCCCCGCGCCCTTCGCGTAGTATAGCGCAGCTATACGAAAGTGATCTTAATGTAAACCGTCTCACGCATGTGGGAACAAGTGCATGTTTTTGCGTCGGATGTTTGTTGTGTTCAGAATGATTTTTTCAAGAAGTGGCAGTGCCGTATGGTAATGCACAGATGATTCAGAAACATCTGGCCTATGGAGCGTAGAAAAAGACATCGAAGTCCTTGGATAGATCTCAGCATCCCCTTCCCCAGTAACGAATGTATTCTTGACAGACGTTCAGATGCCCCTGTGATGTTAGCATGTTTTTGCTGTTCATATCACAACATCCTTGTGGCTTGTAGCTTGTCCGTTGTCATGCTTGATGTGGTGAGTCCAAACAGACAAGAGACCAGCGCTTCATCTCTAAAAAAAGGGGTCTGTTTGCTGCCGTGTCAAACAGAAATCGTTTTCCGGAGACTTGCGAGAGTTTTTCCACAGAATCAGTATCTGTATGTATACGTCTTGCTATTTTCCAAGTATAGACGTATATATATATAATATATATATAATATATATAATATATATATATATAATATATATAATATATATAATATATATATAATATATATATAATATATATAATATATATATTTAATATAATATATATATATGTAGAGTATCTGTATAAAATTATAGTTAAAAAGTCAGATACTTAGTTTTGTTAAATACTAGTGCATCCAATATTCTTTGTAAAATAGTAGTAATTAAGCCCGATACGTTGCCATTTGGGTTATTGACAAATGTTTTTTTGATCGTTGGGTGTATCTGTTGCTTACCGTATGAAATCAGCATTTTTTGTTGCCTTCCGCTCAGGTCTAGAGAATTTCACTTTCTTTTTGAAACCATTGAGTACGTTCGAATCTTTCCATTCTTCTGTAACCGTAAGGCCCGTAAGGTCCGTAGAGCCCGTAGAGCCCGTAGAGCCCGTAAGGCCCGTAGGGCCCGTAAGGCCCGTATAGAGCCCGTAGAGCCCATAGAGCCCGTAGAGCCCGTAGAACGGGCCCGTACGGGCCCGTAAGGGCCCGGGCCCGTAGAGCCCGTAGAGCCCGTGGAGCCCGTTGTCGTTCAGAAGGGCTCTTCTCGAAGATGTTACAACGTATCAGGAACGTCTTGCAAGTCACTTGACGAAGATGTTACGACGTAGCAGGAACGTCTTGCCTGTGTGTGCACAGGAACATGAACGTTATTACCCCACCCCACCCCACCCCACCCCACCCCACCGGTAACTGATCATGAAAGAGCAGTGCAGTGCGTGTGTCTGCAGGACAGCAAGAAAAATGATGAGGTTGCTGTGCCTGACTCCGTGTCCCCAAGTGTTACCCCAAAGGTATGATTCTTTGGTGCTCTAAGTGATCCACTTTTTTGGTGCTCTAAGTGATCCCATGGTGCTCTAAGTGATCCGGTGCTCTAAGTGATCCACTTTCCGGTGCTCTAAGCGATCCCTTAACCTTTGTGGACCGCCACCACCACCACCACCATCATCATCATCATCATCATCATCAACAACATTATCCTACATTATCTTCCCACTCCCCCACACTGTTTGGGGTCTCTTGCCGGGATATTTTTTTTGAGTTGCTACACGCCACGCTGCCGCTGCCGCTCCCAGATTCATTTTGGATGTTGGCTTGGTGGACCAGCACAAGGCCAGGAAAGGATGAGGGGATATTGGGTGGCAACTTAATCAGTTTCATGGGAGTTTAATATAGGAACTAATATGGGAATATTTTTTGGGAATATATTCTAGGATGAGGGAACATACTCGAATGGGAATGACAACTATGAAAATTCATGGGAACATAATGGGAAGGGAGTGGTGATTCTATGCGGCATACCCAATAATCATATGGGTTTTCTGGGGGATGATGGACATATTTCATAGGAATAATTGGGAATTGTAAGTGGTGATTCTATGGGTAGAATATCAGAGACACCAAGATCATAAACCGCAGATCCACAAGGTGAGGCCTTCAAACAATAGCTAAGGGCTGGTTTGTCACTAGCTGCCACCAGCTAAACTGTGGTTTATAGTACATATATATATAAATATGTATAAAACAAATAATTATATATCTATAAAAATATATTCACAATTATATATATATATATGTATATATACACATGTTTTTCAGCGCTAAAACCCTCCATTGGATTTTCCAGCCACGTTTGATGACACTGTTGGAGGTAAATCCATTCATATCCAATTATTGTCCCATTCTTAACCCCCTCAAAGCCATAGAAATGCATGTTAAACCACTGGAGGTGACTATCACCAGAGGATGAGTCAACATGTAAAACCTTACCACAGATTTGAGTTTTTGTTTAGTATTAATAGTCTATTCATAGTATTCATAGTATAAATAGTATTAATAGTATATACATACATCAATCAGCTACCATCTGGTTATTTAACATAGCCATGGAACATCACCATGCTATTAATAGGTAAATCATCTATAAATGGACCATTTTCCATGGCTATGTTAAATAACCAGAGGGTAATAAAAAATTGGGTACTCTTCATGCCTTGGCCGCCCACGTGACTTTTTTTTTGTTAGGTGCCATACTTCTGGGCCGTGCACCTCTTCGACCTGTTGGCCAAGCAGATCCGTTTCTGCGCCGTGGACGATCAGATGCTGAGCAGTGCCCCGCTGCTGCCCGTGGTCTTTTGGTGGGATCTCTTCCCGAAGCTCGAACGAAGAATGCGAGGAGAGGATCGTCCCAGGGAGGATCCTAACTGGTATGAACCGAGGGATAGGAACTATAGTAACCATAGTAACATGGGAACTGGGAACCATAGGAAGCATAGGAAGCATAGGAACTCATCCCATTAGGAACCATAGTATGATAGCCGTAGTAACTATTTGGGATAAGCTACTGGGGAACGATCACCAGGGTGGAACTAAGCACTAAATGGGATGATTCTCGAACTAGGAAGATTTTGGGAGATTTTGTTGGATAGCGGATAGTGGTTGTGAGCCCATAGATAAATTCATCGGTAAAGAAGACAACTCGCGAACTAAGCCTTAATTAAGTAACATCAATGAGAACCCGCGCAAGAGTGGGAAAACCATTCGGCACCCCTTAGAGGGGCCTAGTTATGTATATCACCGGGTGGACGCACATCCAAGAGGAGTTGTATAGAAAACCTTGAAGGGCCACTGGATTCAGCGGGGTTCTGCGCAGAACTTGCGGAGAAAGATGGCATTGAGATGAATCACAATGTGGGAAGCTCAAGAATAAACAATCCCCACATGGAAAGCAGAAATAGGAGAAGTTTCGGGTTGTGGGTTTAAATCTAGCATAGCTATGGAAAAATGGACCATAGTATATACATATATGTATATCACATGACTTGCCAACAACAAAATTATATATATAGTGGTTTTCCATAGCTACGCAGCTACGCCCGATTTCCAATTCGGGGACCAGCTGAAATCACAGGGTGATTTTTCAAGGATCGTGGAGCACTTGGCTGGGCAACACTTTAAGATCGGGCAGAGCAATCTGCGGGTGAAATTCATCGAACACCTGGCAGCTCGTCACGGGAGGGCCTTGCCGGCCTGGGACGCGGTTGGCCCTGGCATCATCCAGTATCCACCCACGTGGGGAGGAGTCTTTTCGGGTGATTGGAGAATGCTCTCTTCAGGGATGCTCCCGATCGTTGTGGGTGGCATTTTCGAAGCCAATGGATGGTGGATTCTGACAAATTTCTGAAACAACAAGCCATCTGTGTTGGTGAAACATCCGTAAGTATTGGAAGTTTCCAGGATTTTCCCATGACCCCCCCGGGCTGCTACCGCTACCGCTACCGGGTACGGCTTCAGGCGGAGATTGCTCGGTTGCGTTTGCCCAGCTTTGCGCAGAAGGTGATGAACATCAGCAAGGTCGGATCCAGTCGCGGAGAGTCGCGTTTTGTAAAACATATCCAGAAGTGGAATCCCAATATATGAGCTATGGTCAATACTCATGGTTAATAACCATTAATAGGGGCTAGTCATCCAATGGTTCATAGGGATTTATAATAACCATTATAAGGATCCTTATTATGGATGGGATGACCGTCAACCATATAGTGAGTATTGACCATGGCTCATATGGGTGGTTAAAACACTTTGGTTGATGAAAAAGCCACACTCATCAACTTTGATATGATATGGGTATAGAAAAAGCGTTTTAATATGGTTTTTGGGTGTTAAACCAATTTTTTCAAACCATGTACTACCATAGGATGCTACCAAACTATGAAGTAAGATGTCAATAATCAATGGATTGGTTTAAGGGAAAATTTACAGGAAAGCCCCATATTTAATGGGAAAATCTATGGTTTCCTGTAGATTTTCCCTTAAACCAATCCGTTGAAATAAGCCCACAGCAGATTTCAAAAGCCACTTACATATCAACCATATCTGGGGATCCATGGTGATGGGGGATCCATGCTAACGTTGTAACGATCATCCAAGAAGGGTGTTGTAACTTTCATTTATATCCATCCCGATATTATGCACATAATATCTATATTAATACTTGTGTTTGTATGCATGCATGTATATATATAATAGTTACAGATATATACAACTATAGATAACATACAACATATGTAGATGTATAGGAACCCAGAAAAAGATAGACAGCAAAACTAAACTATGATATCCAGTACTCTGGTTATATGATTAAAATAGTGGTCACATTACTTTTCTATCCCGTTTTTGCGGGGGTCAGCCTCAGGAGCACCTAGAGTTGATGCACCAAGGTGGCAATGGGATCATGGCGGTTTGATTTCGTTTCACCTTGAACGGGGTTACCATGGGTTTCAACGGGATATATATATATGTATATATATATATATGGGTTGAGTCCGTCCTAATAGCTGTAACAGTCAAAAAAAGGATTTCTTTATATTTTGGGCGAACGTTGTTTTGAGTGTTTTCCTTCGTGCACAAAATCGTGCTTTTCGGTGCTTTCCCTCGTGCAAAAAATCGTGCTCTAGATCGTGCTTTTTGGTGCTCTCCCTCGTGCACAAAATCGTCTTTTTGTTGATGTCCCTCGTGCCAAAAATCGTGCTTTTTGGTGCTCTCCCTCGTGCCAAAAACCGTGCTCTAGATCGTGCTTTTTGGTGCTCTCCTTCGTGCCAAAAATTGTGCTTTTTGGTGCTCTCCATCGTGCCACAAACCGTGCTTTTTGGTGCTTTCCCTCGTGCCAAAAATCGTGCTCTAGATCGTGCTTTTTGGTGCGCTGCCAAAAATCGTGCTCTAGATCGTGCTCACTGTTACAGCTATTAGGCTTGTGTCAATATATGGGATATATAGAACTATTGGATATAGATTGTTTTGATGGTTCCATTCTGTCGGGCAAAAATCCTGATTGTTTTTCTGAGTCTAATTAGGCTTAGTCCACTTGTAATTGGGGTGAACAAAGCCGACTTAGTAGGATGAACCACCAACTACTTTGCGATTGAGGGCTAGCTTCGACGGGGTTTTGGATGTGGATTCAAATCGAAAAACATGTGGGATATTAACGTTCACATACCTGCACCCTTTCGGGGATGTAGCTCTAAGTTCTGGTGGGTTTGTGGCTAGTTGCTGCTAGTTGGATGCAACCAGCGTTTTCGTGGTATCTATCAGTGACATTTTATTCTGGCGCATCCCGTTTCTGTCATGAAAATAGCCATCAGTTGATTGAGGAATAGAGGAAGAAAAATCAGCAGTGGCGCGAGTAATTTTCATGACTCCAAGGATCATCGGTCCGGGATTTGCTATGATTTTCTATTTTCCCAATGGGAAATCCACTTGGGGAATCTAGAGGGAACATGTTTTTTTGGCGTTGCAAATCCAAGACTTCGTTGGGTATACTCAGTACTTTTCACAAACCCAATTTTTCAGGATCTTGGATGATCTTGGAGATGACTTGACAAACCCAAATCTTTCGGCATGTATTGGAAAAAATGCACATTCTTCCATATGACTGGGGGGATACCCATCTGTAAATCCCAGCTATTTTAGGGGTACCTATTATCGTACCACTCGGGGCCCAAGGTTTTGACCCATAGCCATGTGCGAAACTCCATTTTTTCCATCTTTATTCGCTCCAAGCACACTCGGCCAGCAATCAAATTGCACAAAGACTTGCCCTGCTGTGAGATTTGGCTCAAGATATTTTGGATCACCAACCTGTTTTGGCAATATCATTGTCAATATCGGAGAAATAGACCAGCTAGTACGTTTTTTTTCTACCAACGTTACTTCGCAATTCGGATTTACCTGAACAAGTTTATTTTAATCCTGAAACGTTTGAGACAACATCTTCACACATTGTTTATGTGAAAAAACACCTGAAACATCTCTGAAACATCACAGTGTTGAGCGTCCTTCTCCAGAGATGTTTCAGCTCACAGTGTCGCTGCCGAGTGGGCGCAGCGAGAAGCTGTTTGTTCCGAGGTCCTCTGCAGTAGGAGACTTAAAACTCTTGGCCCAGAAGACCTTTGGACAAGGCTTCTTGAGGCTTGTAGCAGATGGGAAGCTTGGAATTGCTGAATTGTCAGGTGTTTTTTGTTTATTTTCAACAGGACAATCTGGCAAAGAAGGGGAATTCATGTGGAGATATTCTTGTATTTATATCATTTATATATATATATCATATTTATGGGTCAAGCAAATCTCAGGAGAATTTTGGATCCCATGGAATCTTTAGAGACTGCTGGGCTTCAAGATGGAGACGAGCTATGCGCCTTGGCAATTCCCTTCCACCTGGCAGCAACCAGAAAAGGTCATTTGATCATTTTTGCGGGTGGAGCCTTTTGTATCTGGTGCTGTGACCGACTTGTCACATGGGGCGATCGCCTAAATGGTGGTGACAGCTCTGCGGTCCAGGATCAGCTCAGAAATGTGCAGAAAGTTTATGGCGCCGCTCGGGCCTTCGCTGCTCTCCTGGAAAATGGACAGGTTGTGACTTGGGGCGACCCAGAACGTGGTGGCAAAAGCCTGGTTCTGAGAAATGTCCAGCAGCTTCAGGCCACGCTTGAGGCATTTGCAGCGGTGCTTGCAGATGGATCGGTTGTTGCTTGGGGCAACAGAGACTTTGGTGGCGACAGTTCTTGGGTCCAAGATCAGCTTTGGAACGTTCAGCAAGTGGAGGCAACAGGTGGCGCATTCGCAGCAATTCGTGGGGATGGATCGGTTGTAACCTGGGGCAATGGATTTCGTGGTGCAAACAGCTCCGAAATCCAAGATCAGCTCAGGAATGTACAGCAGATCCGAGCAACGACTTGGTCCTTTGCCGCGATCCTGAAAAATGGATCCGTTATTACCTGGGGCGATCCAGACAGTGGTGGTGACAGCTCCGCAGTTCAAGATCAGCTCAGAAATGTGCACGAGATTCATGGCTCTGGCCGTGCATTTGCTGCCATCCTGACAAATGGATCTGTTGTTGCATGGGGCAGTCCAGGGGATGGTGGCGACACATCTGGAGTCCAAGATCAGCTTCATAGTGTTCAGCAGATTCAAGCGACTGCCAGTGCGTTTGCTGCGATCCTGGCTGATGGATCAGTGGTTGCATGGGGCGATCCAGAATCTGGTGGTGACAGCTCTAGAGTCCAAGATCAGCTTCAGAGGGTGCAGCAGGTTGGAAGCACACAGCGGGCATTCGCTGCGGTCCTGGGAAATGGATCCGTTGTGACCTGGGGTAGTGCGCATTTTGGTGGGGATAGCTCCGCAGTCCAGGACCAGCTCAGAAATGTGCAGGAGGTTGAGGGCACAGATTGTGCGTTTGCTGCAGTCCTGCTAGATGGCTCAGTTGTTACATGGGGCCACCTGCATTATGGCGGTGATAGCTCCGGGATCCAAGAGAAGCTCAGATGTTTGTAGCGCGCTTGCCGACTCCCTCTGCACTTCAATGGGGATTCCAAAAGTGTTGATTCCGGCCCAACATGGTGCTGCCATCAAATGCCAATAGTAGGGACAAGCACACTGCCTATCTGCAACATCCACCAGGATCTTGTTGTATGGAGGTTTCCTAAAATGGGTGGTACCCCAAATCATCCAAAAATTGGATCAGTTTAGTATTGAAACAACCTACTGTATGGTGACTCGGGGGATCCCCCATTTTAAGAACCCCGTTTATATAGCCAAACATCTTATCTGTTGGGCCCATTTTGGGCTTCCCCTCTTCAACGCCTCCCGGGCGCTGGGTTGAATGCCTCTCTGACGGCAGGTGTGGGTGTTGATGATGAACAGATGACCATCACGGAGGATGGTCAAGACGGTCAAAACGTTGGCATCACTTAGGTAAGCCTCTGATCCGTGGAGTTTGGCCCCTGGCTGGGTGGTTGATACCACTCTGCCCTCTGGTTGATGAAGACAGGGCAACCCATGTATTTTTAACACACAGGAATACTTGTTCATTTAAACAGTTTAATTCTTTGTTGGTTGTCGCTTCAATGCACATGATTTTTCCATCGTCATCCTAAGATAGAAAGCGTTAGATCCATTGCTTTTAACTTTGAATTCATTCCGCCCATCCTGTGATGTCTTTGGTTTTCGACTGTCCATTGCCATCCAACTTCTCCCCTGTCATGATCAGCGCACACGTTTATGCTGCCATACGTGAACTGGGGATGGGTCAAACCTATGAAATTACCATATGACTGGGGGAATAAACATCCATTGACCAGCTACAGCTATTAATTATAGGGTACAGTTTGTCTACCCAGGGTTTTGACTTATAGCCAACTAGTTAAAGCTCTAAGATGGCAGGAAATCTAAGATTGGCCATGTCTTGCAGGACGAGACTGGAAAGCGTACCATTACCAAGTCCAGGAGACACCCGTTGCACTTGTCTAAGACGTGGGGTTGACCTTTGGGAATGGACTGAATGGACTACTTGACCACAAAAAATGATGGTTTTAGAGGCGCGACTCCCTATGATTTGGTGGATAAGATTTTATGGTTTGAAATGATGGGGATCTTAGCTGGAGCTGGTCCAAGAAATTGGACTATCCCTCAGGTTTCCTGTTCCCTAAGTTTCTTGATGTTTCTTGTCTGGCCAACAAAATCACACACTGCTGGTCACCAAAAAAACCCTCTGGTAATCAAACATTGCAATGAAACATCTTAATTTATATACGTATGATTTTCCCTCTCAAGCCTCTATTGAGTTTGGTGATTTACCAGCCAGCCATGTTTGATGACACCGTTGCGGGTATGATCCCTTCAACCGCGGAAAAACTGACTTCGAGCCAACTTTTCGAGCCAACTTTAGGAGCTTGCGAGCGCAGAATGAGAAGGCCCGGGTCCGAATCAACGGCAGACTGCCCGGGTGTCCATTTTGAAACCACCAAGCGATTTTAGGCTTCTAAGAAGGATTATCTTAAGATTGATATAATCTAGAGATCCTGACAGTCGGTGGCCGATTCACGAAATGGTGGGACTATTCCCACATTCTCCAAGTCATCCAAAGTTGGACATTTATGTGCCAACCGTTGATTTTCGGGGTCCAACACTTGTCAGAAATCCTTTTTTAGGATTCGTCAGCGAATCCTCATTCTTACTCCTTAAGTCAGTGAAATCACCCAGTTTTGTTACTTCAATCATCTAAAATTCCCCTATTTCTGCTGGAAGTTCTCCCGCATTGGCGAAAAAAGCCAGGCCAGCAGTAAGGTGCAGCTGCATATCTTGGAGGATGCGGCCAAGCAACGGCAGAAGAGTTTGTTGGTGGAGCCCGAGGTGGACGGTGGTCCATGGTGGTCCATTTTGGGGAGCCTTCACCAGCTGAGCTGGTGATTTCTAGTGCGGAAATGGGGATCTTGGGATTTACCATTGGTGAAGTCCTAAAATTCCAGAGATAGCCGGGATTGATTGTTCGTCATATCGAGTTTCTTTCATTGGGGCAAAATCGGAGGTTTGATGCCTATTTGGTTAGTCGGAATTAGCCTAGGTTTACACCGAGTTTATGATTTGATGATCCCAATTGACAGAATTTACTTTTGTTTAAGGTGTTGAGACTACCACCAACCACTGGTAGGTGTGAAGACCAATTTCTGTTAGATCAATTTTTCCCATGGTTAAGTCACCATTTCTGTTCACCTCCAGTAAATGAGGAGGTTTGATCCTGAAAACAGCCAGTTTTCAGTGGAAACTCTTCAGAAAGTAAGAGCCAAAGATGGTGAAATCATCGTTTTTTGGTTGATGCTTTTAAAACTAATGATGGTTAATTAGGATGATAAACTGAACATTTCAATGGTCAAATCTGCAGTGGACATGATTTCATCGCCCACCTTCGGGCGGCTGGAGACCTGTAGGTCTTGCAGCTGCTGTGGCAACACGAAGAGGTCTTCAAGGCTTTGCACAAAGCCTATGCAGACGACCGAGGTGCCGCCTGAAGCTGTCGCAGTCGCGATGTGACCACTTGAAGTGTTTTCATGGCAACTTTGTGGGGAAAAAGATTTCATATTATGAGGATATGGAATGGAATATATAACCAATACCAGTAGTACCGCACAAGGCGGTGGCGGAAGTTTCAGAAATAGAAAACCTATAGGAGAGGTTGGTTGTTGTGAATCACGGATGGCAGAGCGAAGCCACTGATGGACTGACAGGTGGTTGAGGTCTCCTCTCTTTCTCTCTCTTTCTCTCTCTTTCTTTCTCTTTCTCTGACTATCTACCTACCTACCTACCTATCTATCTATCTATCTATCTAATCTAATCTAAATCTAATCTAATCTAATTTAATCTAATTTAGTCTAATTATCTACCTATCTACCTATCTATCTATCCATCTATCTATCTATCTACCTATCTATCTATCTAATCTAATCTAATCTAATCTAAATCTAATCTAAATCTAATCTAATTTAAACTAATTTAATCTAATTATCTACCTATCTACCTATCTATCGATATATCTATCTAATCTAATCTAATCTAAATCTAATCTAAATCTAATCTAATCTGATTTAATCTGATTTAATCTAATTTAATCTAATTTAACCTAATTTAATCTAATTTAATCTAATTTAATCTAATTATCTACCTATCTACCTATCTACCTACCTACCTACCTACCTACCTATCTATCTATCTATCTATTTAATTATCTATCTACCTACCTACCTACCTATCTATCTATCTTTCTATCTATCTATCTATCTATCTATTTAATTATCTATCTACCTACCTACCTATCTATCTATCTACCTATCTATCTATCTATCTGTCTGTCTATCTGTCTGTCTATCTATCTGTCTATCTGCAAGCTTGAAAACGAAGCTATTCTGCGAGACTTCCTCAGTTTTTGAACATGACAACATCAAAAAACGCAGCAATTCTGCGAGACTTCCTCAATTTTTGAACTTGACAACATCAAAAACGAAACAATTCTGCACTTCCTCATTTTTCGAAGTTGACAACATCAAAAACGAAAGAATTCTGCGAGACTTCCTTCAAAAATGAAAAGATGAGTGCAGAGCTGACGGCCTCGTACCATTGCGTTTTGCGATTTTTCCACTCCACCTGTCTAAACTACTGCACCTGCCACGAAAAAGTGATGCCAGGTCATACGAAGTGCTGCACCTGTCACGCAAAATCATCTCAGCAAACCTGAAGATCTGATGCTGCAAAATGCAACCCCTCTCAGGAAATCAGCGCCCGGACCTCCTAACAGCTCTGATGAACATGTCTCTTGTATTGCGCCTGCCACGGACAACGCATCTTTGCAGATCCTCTTCAAATGTCCCACGCCTGCCATCGTTTTTGGAAATGCTACAAAACCATCACGTTTTGCTCATTTTTGACAAGGTGCACAATCCCTTGCGCCTGCCACGCGAAACGACATCTGACCGACCAAAAGTGGTCCGAACCCCTGGTGTTTTTAACATTTTGACTTCGAAATGTGCTTCGCGCATCTTCGCGCCACAACGGCGTGCACTTTTTCGACACCTCAACTTCCAAAAGTGGTCCGAACCTGGTGTGTTTTGTACATTTCCCGCCACAACGGCGTGCACTTTTTCGACATCTCAACTTCCAAAAGTGCTCTGAACGTGAATGTTTTTAGCTTTTTCACTTGCAAATGTGCTTCGCGCCACAACGGCGTGCACTTTTTCGACCTCTCAATTTCCAAAAGTGGTCCGAGCATGGTGTGTTTTGTACATTTTGACTTGGAAATGTGCTTCGCGCCACAACGGCGTGCAATTTTTCATCTCTCATCTGGCCAGCTGGCTCCGCACCCGCCGCTTTAGCGAGCCTACTCTTCGACCCTCTGGAGCTTCAAATCACTGGAAAAACGCAGTGTTTCGCGACTTTGCTACCCTTTCGCGCACCTGGATCTTCTTTCTTCTGATTCTCTCTCTCTTTCTTCTCCTCTTCTCTTCTCTGACTCTTCCCATCTCTGGAATCATCTGTCCATATTGTCGGAAGTTTGACTTCTAAACTTCCTTCGACGATATATGATATGTATAATATACATATATATATATACATATATATATAGGTGTGTCTGAAAGTGGGTGATTGGCCAGCAACATGGCCATCAAATAATAGGGAATCTAATTTTCGAAACCATAAACTAAAAGAGGGGCAGCGAGTTTCAGACAAACCCAGATTGACAGTCACAACCACTTGCCCCTCCGGTAATCAAACATTGCAATGGACAATCTCTCATTTGTTCCACAACCATGTCAGTCAGAAATTTGGAGTAGCCAAAAACACGACCCTGGACACATGGACACATGCCCAGAATGATTAATTAATTGATCCAGAGGACTTAAGAACAATTTTTGGCCAGGTGGTACTTGTAAGGAAAATTATATAAGGGGAAACACCGTGAATTCACACGGACATGCTGGCACCGCAGATGCAGTTTCACCACCATTGCAGAGTCATGCACTTTGATACAGAGAACAGGAATATCTTTCAATTACGTGCATTATTCCAATTATCTATCCATGTATCACATAACGTTGGTGAATAGATTCCAAGTAGAGTAATGCATTATCATTATCATTTCATGATAGCTTGGCTATCCCCATGGTTTCGAACGTTTCGAACTCATGGACCCGGGCTCTCTGGCGCTCAGGCCACATGAGTTTCGCTGCAGTTGTGCAACTTTGCAGTGATTTCTCGCTGGTTGGGACCTTAGTGGTGCAAAAAAGGACCTGCCCAGAAGGATTCATAGCGCTCCATCAGCAGAACTTTCTCATTTTTTTAAAAGACACACACACACACTGCTTACTGTAGCACACATGGTTTCTTGCTCGTATCGGCGCATTTTCCTCGCCTGGAATCCACTTTCAAACTCCGTGCAGCAATAGTTTTTTTTTTCCATTGATGTATGCCGCAGGGCCATATGTCACCAATATATATATATACTAGCTATATACAGTATATGTAGTACATATATATATATATAAATAATACACAAATAAAGCCTATTTCACTCATTTACATTTGTAGTGGTTTTATGCAATTCTGGTTCCAGATCCTCATTTCGAACATCTCACAGCAAGCCGTCACCAAGGCGCCCAACCTCATCAGCCTTCATGCCCTAAGGAAGATTTATGAGCCCCGCAGCGGCATGGGACGGTGGGGCCGTGGCAGGTCGTGCCGTCACGACCGAATGATGGGAATTGTGTTGGGAATCCTCCCCAGTTTTTCGTGATATGAGTTTTTTCAGCATGCCAACAGATGCGGCACTTGTATGATCATGTTTGGGCAAGATCGGGAACCCATCAATTGCAACATAGAGGTTTGGGATTTATCGTGTATAAAGACACCCAGAACCATACAAACAGAGTTTGGAAATCCAATTTCAGGTTACTTTTGGACATCGTCATGTTCCTTTGATTCCCCACCTGCCAGGTGAGGGCCTCTCGATCTTGACAATACATCCCGGGGCTACCCGCCAACCTACACACTCACACACATCCCTGCCACACCCAGCCCTTCATGCCATCTTCCTCGCCATCACGTCATGGCCAACTTGTTTGCCAGTCTGCGAACTCGCCGGCTCTTCCTACCCGAAGACTATGCTGGATTGAATGCCAAATAGAATATATAGAATGCTGGATAGAATGTCAGCTAAAATGTTAGATTGCCAAATTGAATGCCAGAAGGAATGCCATATATATAAATGTAAAGTGAAAAGCCATATTAAAATTTAGAATATATGACAGATAGCATGTCAGAATATGTGCACGATAACATGTCAGATAATCTGTCAGAAATTATGTCAGATAGTCGGAATATACGTCAGACAATATGCCATGGTGGGGACCACTAGCAAATCCATGGGGAATTTGGTCTGCACGCTGCACCTTGGGTTAGGTCCTTGGAAGCCTTAGACATGGACATCGATGACATCAGGCGCTGGTTTCGGAAAGGGAAGGTGGCGGGAACTTTGAGCTGAAGACGCTGAGGAAATCGATGATTTGGTTGTGCCGGAATGGTGGATGTTGGCAAACATCAAAACACATCAAAACATGCTTCAATGTTCTGGTGCAAAAAACGAACGATTGCATCTCTGAGGGGTGATGGGGGTGGGAAAGGCCATGGCCTTTCTTGTGGGGATTTTTCCTGGGTCCTGTGGCTTTTTGATGAAGTTGGGGTACCACAGATCAGCCAAGATAGAATGTCATAAAGAATCATCTCTCTCTCTCTCTATATATATATAAATAACACACACACATATACCAATGGTTTTTCGCGCAATTTGCGTTTCATGGCATTGGTAGTTGGAAATTTTTCCATTGCTCCGTGGCGGAGAATTCGACCTTTCGAGCGCGCCAGGGGGGGGTTCAAGGGGCTGCTGTTCACTGTGCCGTTCACCGCGCCATCCGCGACGCCATGGACGCAGCGATGCTGATCACTTACCTCACAGAGCCAAAGGCGAGGGATACAGGATGGGACCCCTGTTGGATAGCGTTCAGTTGCCTACAAAAAGTGGCTGAATTCTATGGTTTATGGTAGATAACATATATAGTTCATGGATGTCAGTGGGGTTTATAAAGCAACAAAAATCACTGGGTGGCACCATCCTGTCGGGATTTAACAATCAACGACCATGTTTATGAGATTTTATGAGGACGTATCTTCACCTGCTATCATTGGGGGAGTCACCTGACTGGGGGGTTGGTTAAATCTTCATGGTTGTTCCATTTGTTTGATCGAACTGGGGTTAGAAGTTCCTTGAGGAATTCACAGTTCGATTGGTTTTAGCCCAGTTTGCGCAGGGGTTTGCAGTTTCCTGGTTCAACTCTAGATATTTTTCCTGATTCCACAGGAAATTCCACAATAGTTCTAGTTTTGAAGCTAGCATCAGGCCAGTTCGCAGGGTTCAATGATCTCTATCTGGGTATTTCTCAAAATCCCCAGGGTTGTAGGGGGTCCACCTTCAATCTCCGTTTGAAGTTCTTGCTGGTGCAATCCCCCTGTTTTAAAGGTCAACCAAAAACAAAACAGGCTTAAGTCATGTTCAGTCCCCTGTGCTATGGAACACCACCATTTCTGGCTAAATCATCTACCGGATGGTGCCCTTCATTTATAAGTTGGTTTATAAACACCATTAACCATAGTTATATCAATCATAAACCATAGTTAAGCCACTTATAAGGCAACTTAGCTATCTTGGGGGCCGCACAATCTAGAAATGGGGTGAAGATCAAAACTTTCCACAGCCCGCAGCCAGCGCGATTTTTGGGCAGATCACCCTGGCCTTTCTCTTGGCCCTGTCAGTGATCACTGGAGCTCTCATCGAAACGTTAAAGCGGGGCGGGCCGCGTGGGTGTCGTGGGGGAGTAGAACCAATAAACTGGTGATATGGGGGTTTCCTGGAATGGGGGTACAGTACCCCAAAATACAAGGGAACATCTTACTAAAATGGATGATTTACGGGTAGCCATTTTGGGATTTTTCACCATATCATTAGTAAATGATGGGCATTTGTCGGATTAGGTCATGGGCACAGCATGTTCCTGGGGTCAATATCAACATTGGAATCCTGACGCTGGGATGCTCGTGACAAAGGGCGTCACTTGACCATGGCGCAATGAACTCCAAAGATTGATATTTTCTCTTCATTCGTGAGTATGTTTACACCAGGTTAACTGAATGTTGACTCACAACCGTTTCTGAAAGCTAGCGAACAACATGGGCCGATTTTTTTTTGATTTTTTCAGGGTGGATCTGCAGTATCAAAAGAGGGAATGCTGAGTGAAGCCACACTTTCTTCGTTTCGAATTCTATCCCTTATCATATAATCACATATATATATATATATCATATATAT